TGTATAAATATCAGCATACTATTATTATATATGATATATAATATTATAATGGTATATATTATTTGCCGATATTACTACAATTCCTAAATATCATCCACTTATCTCATTTATTCAACTAAAACCAATCATATTTTGCATTCTTATCATAATGGTCTATATTATTATTTTTTTAATGTTCAACGTATTCATATTTCATCTATATACATTATTATTAGTCACTATTTACGACTGTTTCATTATCATTTTCTGAATTGCTTTCCTTTATTTAACAGTTATTAAATATTAATAGCCATATTTACGCGTTTCGAATCAAGCCCAGCCTTCTAATCGCTTTTTAATAATTTCCCATTAAGGTCTGATATTAATTAAATGATTTAATCTACTAACCACTAATTTATAATTAGTTTGTATATTTAATTAAATAATTTGAATCACTATTTTGCAATATTACAAATTATTTTCTAACCTTTCTATAGCATTAGGCATACCTTCTATTGTATTAATTTCCTATTACTCATCAATTTACCCTATATTTATATACTAAAATCAGAATTTCCCATTCCATTTATTAACCTTCCATGACTGATCAATTTACCCTATATTTACATATACTAACATCAATATCTACCACTATTATCGACTTCACGTTTCCCTAAAGTAGCACCTATCTTACCTACTCAAAACAATTACAAATAATGGGAAATACTAGATATATTTCCCAATTATTAGAAAATCAATGGTAAACAATCGGTATGGCATTTAATAATACACAGCATAAAAGAATATTACCAAATATGTCCCATTAATTGTCGACGATGGTAAATATTTCCCATTATTCTCTCGACTTTTACGGGCGGGCGTCATATTAATTTTTCTTCTATTGCTATTACATTACATTACATTCATTCTCAATTACTTTCACCCTGCAGCCCTACCCCTATTTTCCCCCTATTATCAATTACTTTCTTCCCCTTCCGCACTTACCACGAGTCCTGCTTCTCCAGCGAATGATTCTTTTCCGTTTTCATCGGCTTTATCGCTGGCGGCGTCGGCGACGCCTTTGGAGGCGTGGGCATCAGCTGCTGGATGGGCGCCACAGCAGCCATGCCCCCCAGGGCAGGCGGCACCGTTGTGGCACCCGCCAGCGGTGCCAGCGGCAAAGGCAGTTGGCTGGCCTGCGGCGGCGTCGTCAGCAGCGGCGCTATGGGCGAGGTGATCGGCGCAATGGGCGCCAGCAGCGGCGTCATCAGCGAGGAGGCGCTCGCCGCCGGCGGTGAGTTGAGGGGGCCGATGGAATCAAATGCATACTTAAACTTATTGGGCCCATTCAGATTGTAGTTCTCGGACATGGGAGCGTGCGGCGTGGCCGCAATTGAGGTTAGCGGGGTCACGCGATAATTGTTGGTCATTTCGGTGATTATTTTGCTAATATCCTTCTGCAGGGGACGGAGGGAGAAAGAAGAAACAGAATTAATGATTGTTAGTAATACAAAAAATATATAAATATGAAATATTATGTATAACACAAATTTATTATCTAAACCAGATCCAGCTATAGTTTTCTTAAGGTTTTCATAAAGCTAGAAAAGCTCTGGAGAGGATCTGATATTTAGGTATAATATATAATTTCTCAGTGTTGAATACATATTTGTATAAAATGTAAAATAATCTAATCTTACGAAATCTTAGAAATGTCAGGGAGCCTAAGGATCTTTTAGAATAAAATTAATTTTTAGAAAGAATCTCGAATGTAGCACTATAAAGATTTTTCCTTCTCAGTTTCACATATATAATCCTAGTATTTTCCTTACACAGCGTACGTATGCTATAAACTACTTTAGTGGTTCAATATGTATTGAAGTATAATGGGAACAAAATAGAATATCAAATATGGGTGTTTGCTCCATCGTTTTGAGATTAAAGAGAAATTGTAATTATATATCCTTTATTAAATATAGTGAAATATTCGGTAAATAATAGGAAATTGTGGGTATTCCCACTAGCATTCTGAAATTAATTTTATGAATATATCCTCTATATTGGGTATATCTTTTATTACTCATATCATATTTTTCGACTCTTTGGACGTTACGGATTCTCCTACCTTTCCCATTATGTTTTTCAAAAATAGACCACATACCTGTTTCTCTATATCTGCTCACTTGTCTGGGCGTATTCTTGGCTATATGTCTATATATTTCAGCTAATGCCAGATAAATATTTCCATGTACTTTAACTTTTATTAAGAATTATAATTATTTTCGGAATATTTTACAATAATTTATCGATACTTTTTCAGTGTTGATTTCTTTTCTTTTTAGACACATCAAAAAATTTAATTGTTCTCTAAGGCTGTCGATTATCTTATTCAACTTCAAGTCACTAAAATCATGGCCAACTAATCTCATTTCATTTTGTTCACTTCGATATAATAATCGATAACTTACCTCTGGTGGCGGTGGCTGCAGTCCAACGCTATTGCTTGGCCGCTTACTGCTGGCCGCTGGCGGCACAAATCGTCCGCCGTTGGGCAGCGCCGGCGCCGGCGGCCCCAGAAACGATTTCTCGCGGCCATTCGGCATTTGCGTGGACAGGGGCGGGCCGAGGGGCGAGGACATGGACGCTGACGTCGCCCCCGATGTGGCATTGTTTGTGGCGCTGGACGAGTTGATGCTGTTGCTGTTGCTGTTGCTCTGGCTGGCAGATGATGACGATCTGGGCGGTCCACGTGGCGGCGCCATGCCGCTACTCGAGGGTATGTCATTCTTCATGGGCTGCCCGGGATAGCCGCCACGCCCATTGTAGGGCGGCTTATTATCCGCCTGCTTCAGATAGGTGGGCGCCCGCTGCTGCTGTTGATAGTGTTGCTGCTGCTGCTGCTGCTGTTGCTGCTGCTGCTGCTGTGATGTGGGCAGCTGGCCAGGCACCGAGGCGGATGAGGAAGCTAATGACGCAGCTGGGTTCACGGAGGCGGTTGACGATGAGTAGGAGTTGGCCAACGAGCTGCCACCGAACGAGAGCGCCGGCAGACGCGAACTGGGGGCATTCGTGCTGGCATGCCTGTAGATTCCCACCGTGGAAGAGTTCATATGGTCCCGGGCATCGATGAATTCGCCAAGGGCGGCCGTTATTTCCGCATCGCCCTCGCTGGGATTGAGGCGGCGCGGCTCACCAAATAGACTAGTCTCACGATCATCGCTCTGTATGCCCTGTTGGCGTTCATATTTCTCGCGTTCGCGTCTTTTGCGCCGCTCGTTATCCTCCATGCTGCAAAGAGAGGGAAAATGGGTGTGTGGAATGTGAAATTAAAGGTAAAGGTAAATGCATTTCGACCTGCTCAACAAACAAACACAACAACAACAACATCAGCAACAACAACAACAACAGTGGTTGCACAATTATAAATAACAAACAAACATGACAGGCAACAACATGAACAACAACAACAACATTGACAACAAGTAGTAGTAGTAGTAGCAGTGGAAGAAGTGAGAGAGGGACAACAACAAACATGGCTCGGCAGTTGACAGCAGTTTGACATGCGCTGCGCTGCGCTGTGGGTGCTAATGTAAACAGTTGGACATGCATTGTGCTTGCGGCGCATTTCTGTTAGTTTTTGGCAGCGTTATGTTTTCTAAGAAAATGTTTTGTTTTCGTAAGGATATTTTTTTTATTCTTTATTAAATTATTATTATTATTTTGCGTTAGGGTTTTTGATTTTCTTTTTTTTTTTTCAATTTACAATTTTTTTCTTTTTAATTTAATTATTTCTTTTCATGAGATTTTTCTCAATGATTTTATATGACAATTTTATAATACACATTTTGAATAAGTTCAACTTTCTAAACAGTTTTTTATGGATTTATAATTCTTGGAGTAACATAAAGCAGCTTTAATTTCGTAAATTGTCAATACAATTATTGAGTTTGTATATTATAATGGCAAACATATAAAAACTCACATACATATACAAAAACCAGCTTTGAATTGGCTTTTAATTTATTTAAATGTTTATATTACGTTTTTAATTTTCCAATTTTATATAAAATGTATTATTCCAATTTAAGTCGTTTTTTTTTTTCAATATAAATTAGCTAAAATATGAATGAAAATGAAATTTCAAATTCAAATTAACATATTTCCACTGAATATTCCCATGAATATTTTTTGCACGTGCAGTGAGATAGAAAAGCTTTCAGCTCTATTAGGCGTAAACAGTTTGACATGCACGCAAGCACGGTTTGATGAGCATGTAAACAAAGCCTTTGATTGTGGAACACAGAGAGGATGGGTAGCATGTATACGATGTATGTGTGCATATGCGTATGTGTGCGTGTATATGTGCGTGTGTGTGTGTGTGTAACGCGACAGTTGTTTAATTTAAATATTTGCCTTGACATTTAAAAGCTTTGGGTTTGAGCTTTAGTTAATAAAACAAAGCCATATTTTTTGTTCGTGGCGCATGCTAAAACACCCACACAGAGGGAACACATTGAAACAAGCAAGGGAAGTGAAAGAAGAAGGGAGAACGGAGAAAGGAGAAAGGAGGAGGATTTACACAGCGCACCGCAATGACTCTCAAAACTTACTTATAATTCAGGTTGTACAAATTGTTATTGTACTGCAGTAGTTGTTGTTGCTGTTGCAACTGCAGCTGTTGCTGCTGCTGATGGTGTTGCTGCTGCTGGTGTTGTTGTTGTTGCTGTTGTGCCATAACGCGCGCTTAATATAAATATTTTTTTAATTAGTTTTGCCGGCAACGCGCACACATACAAGCAAAACATATATATACACACACCCACACACACAAGCAAACGTACGAAGGGAACGAAAAACGATTAAGAAAAAAAATTAACGTTACGTGTGAGTGTGTGTGCGTGTGCGTGTGTGTGTTGGACTAAACAGAAAGTGTTTGTAAAAGTTTGTCGCGCTCGCTTTGTCGCTCGCTCTCTCGCTCTTTTTATCTCATCCAAAAACGCTCTCTTTGCTTTGACGCGCTTATGTTATCGTTGTGATTCTGCTGCTCTGTCGCCAGCAGCGGCGTAGCGGCGCTTTGTATTGTTTGTTGTTGCTGTCTTCAATTTCTTTTTGCGCTGTGTTTGGTTTACTCTTTGTTGCTGTGCTTGTTGTTGCTGCCGCTGTGTGTGGCCGCAACATTTTCGCTGTCATTTGCTGCTGCTATTGCTCTGTTTGTGGGTGTCTATCTCTCTCTCGCTCTCTCTTTCTTTCTATTTTCTTTAGGCACTGGCCATTTAAGGTTTTGGAAGCACTGCGAGCGTCTTTTTGTTTTCTGTTTAGTTCGTTGCGTTTCATGTACGAATTATGCGAGTAGTTATTGTATTTTTCTTTTTCAGTTTAAATGCCGATTTCATTTATTGTTGTTGTTATTTTGATTAACTGTGAGTCTTTACATTGCCTTGTGTACTGTGAAGTTGTGTAAGTGTGCCTGTGTAATTTGTGTGACAAAATGTAATGTTGTAGTACCTGCAAAGAGAATAATAATTTGAAATTAATAAAACTGCATTCAAATTTCAAACTTACAAACTAAAAATAGACAAAATAGACAATTTAATGCTTAGCCAAATACAGTCAATCCAAACAGCTCACGATGGAGCCCACACTTAAAATTAGCAGAGAATATCAAGCACGCGAGAGACAAGGATAGAGCATGCATCGTTACTTCCCATTATTGAAGAAGAGCGAGCTGTTACCCGCGCTCAGCCACACACACCCACACTCACATATGCACACGTGCAGGGATTATGGAGCTTTGCTTTGCCTTCACTCTTCGCTCTTCGCTCAACCACTAGCAACAACAGCAACAACAAAATGGCGTCAGACTAGCGACTGAAAGTGTAATGCTTAAATTCACTTAGTTTGCCAAAAACTAAGCAGCAGAGCGAGCGAGACGGAGGCAGAAGCAACGGTTTTTTAGAAAATAGCTTAAGCTCTGCTTTAATGCAGCAGCTGCTGATGCATCGAAGAGAGAGCAGAGCAACAGAGAGTGAATTCAATTAGTGATAATGGAGCTTCAAAAATTGAGCTCGCATACATTTTGGGGCTATTATGCCTTTAAGTGCATGTAAAAGAACAAATTTGACAGCAATAAGACAAGTTTGAAACAATTTTTGTAATATTTAATATTAATTTTGTAATATTAATTTTCTGAAACCAAAAATCAACTTAGAATTACAAAATAGATTTAAGAGCAATTACTGCAGCTTTTGTTTAAATAATCGCACATTAAAGCCAAACCTCTATCGATATGTGCGAAAGAGAGCGCATCATAAGCCACACAGGCATCAACAAAATATAAATTAAAGGACAACAAAAACTTTGTCAAGCCGTTTGCTCAACTCTGTCCAGCTGTCCGTCTGCCTGTTGGTCTGTGGCTGACTTCTTCATTCATTTTTCTTGTGCGCATAAACTATTTGTTCGCACTGTGTCCATAAGGCATGGCCAGAGAAATAAAATAATTAAATGCTCGTCCTAGCTGGATTTGGACTCTGTTTTTGGCTCCAGTTGAGATGCTAACAAAATTTATAAGACAAATAAATTGTAAAAGCAGCAAAAGCATAAAAACACACAGCAGATTTGTGGCTCTCTGTGGCCTCTCTCTCACTCTCCCTGTCCACTTTCCCTCTCTCTCTCTCTCTCGCTCTCTCTCTCTGTCTATCTGTTCCTCCATTTCTTTGGGCAACTGTAAAAGGGTCAACATTGTGCGTCTGATGTCCTGTGACCAGAAAATTAATTTAACTGACACGTTTTTCATTCCGTACACATAGATACTACATACATATTGTATATATACTTTTTGTATATATGTACTTTTTCTCATAAATAAAATTCTGTTGCATACGCCAAGGCGCTGGACAACAGGGCGACATTTTCTATGCAATATAAAACTTTTGATTTGTTCCACTGAATCCCACCAGCTGTGCTCAGCATTTGAGTAATTAAACATTAATAATAATTTAGAGTGGGAAAACGTGTTCCCCAAAACTTTATTCAGCTGCTACAAATAGTTAATCAACTCGTGATTAGTAAAAAAAAAAAAAAAAAACCACAACAACAAAAAGCAAAAATAAACTTATGGTTTCAAAAGTTTTATCGTCTGTTTTTGTAGTTAAATGAAATGGAACGGGTGGAAATAACATTTCAAAAACATGTGACACTTTGTTTCCTATTACCTCAGAGACCTACAAACCTAATTTAAACAGGGAGTAGGGTGAGGGAGCTTAGAGAGCGGAATGGAATTTTGGATATTATAATTAAAGCATTTTCCATTTTTATGAACAAAACTATTTCTCTGTCACCGAAATTTCATTTTAATATGCAAGGTTTGGCTGCTTGTATAAGAATTTTTATTGTACGTGTACGCTTGAGTGATGTTTTAAGTGGAAAATAGGGTGGTTAGGGAAAAGTGAATAAGAGAGACAATGTGTATTTCGGAAAGAGGTAAGAAGAGTTATGTAGGAGGTGAATACAACTAGCAGATATTTAAAGAGAAAGACAGAGTGAGACAGGGAAATAAAGGGGATATAAACCGTAAGGGAGAGAGAGAGAGACTGATAGAGAGAGAGAGAGAGAGAGAGAGAGAGAGAGAGAGAGAAAGAGAGATATTTCTAGTTAGACGGAAACATATATGGAAAGAGAGAGAGAGAGAGAGAGTGTGTGAGAGAGAGAGAGAAAGAGAGACATTTCTAGTTAGACGGAAACATATATGGAAAGAGGGAGAAGGAGAATGAGTGAAATACAGAAAAGGGAAGATGAGGGTGAGAGCGATAGTGATAGAAATATATGTATATATAGGGAATGTGTAAGAGGGAAAGAGACAGACAGAAAAAATGAGACAAATGAGCTAGCTGAAAATAGGGTTTATACGAGAAGAAATAGTGAGAGAGTGAGAGAGTGAGAGATAGATAGATGCAGAGAAATGCCACAGAAAGGAGACATTTCATGCGAATCGCAATGAGAGACTACCCAGAATAAATCCAAGAATTTTTGCATTTTCTATTGAATTTCCCTTTATAGCAATGCGATATCACTACCAGAGAATTGTTATATGTATGGATACATCTACATATGTATACCAAGAATTATAAATTTAGGAATAATATATTTTGCAATGTGATATAAATTCTTAAAGGCAACTCAATGGCAAAATACTTCCTTCACTAAATTTTCATGAAAATATCAAAAACTCTTTTCATGCCGTGTAAATTAATCCACCTTCTTATTGATTACAAGAGGTTGCCGAGGCTTAAGCACATGTTCGTTCGTATTTACTTTGTAACGTTTGCGGAACTGAAGAACATATAAATATTTATATACGTACACACACTTCTATATATGTACATATATAAATTGAAAAAGCCTTGGCGAACTGTTTGTGGCCTAAAGCATTTTCAATTTTTGAGTTTTCTACCCAAAATCGAGGGGTTCTCCATTTGCTCCACACTGGGAGCTTACTGTTCGCTCACACATGTCTATTTATTTACGTTTGATTTTTCTTATATTTTTCAGGAAGTGGCATGGGCATGGATCAGGGGCAGGGGCAGGCGCAGGATAACAGAACAACGGTGCGGCTGTGGAAGCGGTAAATATGATGACGATGTGGCGCAGTTGTTTACCTCTCCTTTGCCTACTTATGGGAAAGCACAGCTTCCCTTCTCGCTCTCACTCTCGCTCTTTCTATCTCTCCCTCTCCCTTTCTCACTCTCGTAACTCGTCTGATATCAGGCGCATCTGGGTACGGCCCCGACTGGGGCATATGTTATGAATTTTATGCAAATATGTTGCGCCTCTCGTTGCCAATACAGCTCGCTACTCTCCTTACGCCTCCCGCAACACGCCCACGCGCACGCCAAGCAGGCAGAAACTCTGGCAACAAGTTTAAGAAAATTCGCCATGTGTGCGATTTTCTTTAATTTTATTTTATCCTAGTTGTTTTTTTCACAGTGTTTGCCATTCTATTAACATTTAAATCAGTTTTCAGCTTGACTCTTTAAGCTACGAAAGGGTCGACGCCTGCTTTACGGCTGCATATTGTTGACATAACTCCTGCGATATGACTCTGAGACAACGAACTATCTAAATCTAAGTAAATGGAAAGAAACTCTGGCTAATACATAAAAGTTCAAGAAAGCACAAATGGGGCATATGTACATGGGAAATACTTTTGAAAGATTATTCTGTTCATATGTATTCAATAGAAAGTGTTGATAAATTGTTTTCACTTCAATAAGAATTCAGCTAATATAAGAAAAATAATAAAAGTACAAAAAAAAACATCCCTTTTATACTTTAACAAATATATTATTATTTACTATATAATAAAATAAACCTTGGAAAATATTTTCTTATATTCAAAGTCAACAAACAATATTTAGTAACTTAAATTACTTAAATCCTATTAAATAGTTTATTAAATGTTTTTCTCTGGAGGAATTTATTTAATTTTCATAAAATAATTCCTCAAATGCACATCTAAAATTTGTTAATTATTTAACTATACAATCCAAAAACATTCTCTGCTAAATATAATTTACTTCTTCAAATCAAATCTTTACGTAATTCACGTAAAGCTTTACGTCATGAAATATGCAAGTCTTGATTTGACA